AGAGAGAGAGAGAGAGAGAGAGAGAGAGAGAGAGAGAGAGAGAGCGAGCGAGAGAGCGCTGCATCTGAGCAGTGGGCCCACTCGGTTTCATTCCCGTTTGGTATATAGCTGACGGTATCCATTGACGTCATTTGACGTACGATTCTCGGTTGGCTGCGCTCGGTTGTACGGTTTCACCACCAGGTTTCTGGCGACAGCTTTGTCTCTCTGGTTGGTAATACCCTTCAACAGATGGTGCAATGGTGCATTCAAAGGAATAAGCCGATTACACCCGCTTAACGTTTCGACAACTACCGTACATTACATTACCGTACCATTAGCATGTAAACGATGCGGTAGAGGCAACAGCAACATCAGCGGTGGCATTTCAATCCACAGACAACAAAACAACAACACAATAACACGCCACAAACGAAAGCAGTAACTTCGTTTGAAACAGTACGTGTCATCGTAAAGTTGAGCTGTTGTTGTTCCGTTTTGTTCACTACCACCACCATCACCACTACCAGCAGTGACACTGGACGCAATAAAGTCATCAAAAGTACATTCTACTCGGTCTCAGGAGATGATGGACTCCCACAGACTGTGCGTGTGTTCAGCCTGGAGCTCATCTTTGCACTGGCCGCTGCAACAGCACACTATCAGTGTCATTAAACGGCCGCCTCTGCTGTATTTGCTCGCTCTATCTCTCCTTGGAGTTATCGTTTCAGTGTAGGCAGAACGAATGTGAAAAACCATTCGTGGAAAAGAAAGAAAAGAACAACGGCAGCAGCAGCAGTTGACAGCAGGACTTACTGGCAGCAGCTGTAGTTGAAGCNACCTTTCACCTTAACATTGACATTGAAAGAGGAAGGCAATTTAGGCGTTGGCGTTGTTGTTGTGTTCCTAGCCTATCGACTGACTGCCTCTTTCTCTCTGTGTGCTTGTCTGCCTCCGCAGGTCTCTTTTTCTTCTTCTACTTCTTCTTCTTCTGTGTACAGTTCTCTCGAATTGGTAGAACCAGTAGTTGAGTTGTTATTGCTGAAGAAGGAGGTGGTGGGGGTGCTGATGGTGGCGGTGCTATTGGTTGCCGAGCTCTGAAGCCCACCGCGAACAGGCAATGAAGCACTTTGGACAGTGAGCACCGTGCACAAGCAAATTAATCGGCACTGGCGAACAACGACGACGGCGGCGGCGGCGATAGGCACTGTGGACGAACGCCTACGCACTCGGGGGCGAAAGTAACTCGGGTAGAGGATGGAAGAAGGAGAGTGA